GGAAGCGGCTTTAGATTCTCAGTGCTGTGCTTTAACCCGCTGCGCCACCAGGGAGGGCCTTCTTATTTATTTTTTTAAGATTTATTTATTTATATAGGAACTGGGGTACAGGTCACAGGTACGGGGGGTGTTATAGAATTCACCAGAGACAGAGTAGAGAGCAGAACAGGAAAATCTACTGAAATACACTGCTGAGGGAAGTAGCAGATGAGACAGGGGAGGTCTGCCATGCCATGTGGGTCACCTCCCTGTCTGGGGATTGAACTCTGTGCTGCAGTGGCTGTGGATCACTTCATAGTGCTTCACTTTAACCCACTGTGCCACTAGGGAGGGCCCTGTTTTGAAAATTCTTAAATGAAGAGCCACATAATTTTTCTCAGAAGTTAAATTTCCAACCTCTACTTATTGTAGAGCTTGGCCATTTGTCGCAGGTTTGAAACATACCTACTTATTCTAAATACATATAGAATAAATAAATATATATATATGCATAGATACATATACACATATGTGTGTATGAACTAAGAGAAAATGTTATACTAAAGAAAGATAAATGTATCCAAAACAAGTAAGAAAATGAAAATTAATATAAATGACTTACTAGAAAACAGAAAAATCAATTAATGGATAACTATGCCAGAGTAATTTAAAAAAAAAATGAATAGACTAGAGAAGCATAACTAAGAACAAGGGACACAATAAATTTACAGAGTAGAATGATAGAATAGAATACAGTATGGAGTAATTTTAAAAATTATTATAAAACACCTTGTACCTAACTCTGTACAACTTGAAACTCTTAGTAAAATGGGGCAACTTCAATAAAAGTTCATCATAGCTCAGAGGAATTATAAGGATATTCATGGATTTCATTGAAGGTTTGGTCAATTCTTTCACTAGCATGGCCCAACGTTACTTCTTTTTAAAATATCTATGTATATTTCCTGTATTTGAAATCAGCCATAAATGAAGAAAAAGTTAGATAATAGTGACAGCAAACATCTTTGTCTACTTTGATTTTAACCCTATCTGTAGTTCAAATTTGGGATTGTTCTGGCAATGTTCTACTAATACTTTTTGCCACCCTTCCTTCTGGGACTTCATTTGCATATCTGTTAGAGCAATTGATATTATACCATGGGAAAGAAAATCTTTTAATCTTTATGTCTTTGTTTTGGAAAAATTTCTATGGTGATAGGATGTGTTGCTGTGGAAGGATGAGGAACACTCACCAAGGGTGTAGTAATGGGTGCCCTCTTCCTCACCCCCAAACCATGACACTTACATCTCAGATGTATTGATGTAACACTCCCAGCTTGCTATGAACCAGACTTCCTGAGTGGGGAAAGTGCTGGGAAGCTGGGGTGTTGCTGAGAAGCCAGGTGGGCCTTTAAAACACTGAAGACAGGCAGATCTCACTCTTTTCCTTTTTCAGCTCTAACTTGCACTTTGGTTGGGCCAACAGGACAGAAGGCATCTAGGCACATACCGGTCAAGTCATCATCTCTCTCTGCTCTCCCTCTTCTAAATATGAAAACCTACATAGTTGCTTTTGTGTCTTGTTCCTAGTTCTTAATCACATGGTTGAGGACTCACAAAGTGGAGCATCCCTACCTGTGTACTTCCAAAACTGCCCACTAACACTACTGTTATGTCCTCAAGTTTACTTATCTATTTCTATGTGTCTGATATGCAATTACTGTCCTTTCAGACTTTATATAATTTTGTCTCAAGAAGTTTGATTTATTATTGGGGGGAAAATAATGATTTTAAAGTGAATGATATGGTGGCATTTAGTATATTCACAATACTGTGCAAGAATCACCTCTATCTAGTTCTAAACCATGTGCATCACTTCAAAAGAAAACTTCATAAGTATTAGGCAATTACTCCCATTCCTTCTCTCTGAAGCATGGGAAATCAATATAATTTTGCTGTTTATATTTGCCTTCTCTGGAAATACACATATCAAATCATAAAAAATATGATAGTTTGCATCTAACTTCTTTCATTTATGATGTTTTTAATGTTTATCCATGGACCCTTTTTATTAACTGAATAGTATTTCATCTGTGGATAGTCATGCATTGCCCAATGAAGAGATAGGTTCTTAGAAATGTGTTAATGGCTGATAAATATATGCTGAGTAAATGAACTATTTAACACATTTAATTTTTCATGAAGTATATTATTGTGACTTATTGTATAGAAGTTTATTCTTGAAAATCATAAACTATTTCACTATGTCTAATTCAAATCATTTTAGAAAAAGGAAATTAAAGACACCTAGATCATAAAAAGTACTAACGCAAAAGAAATAAAGATGAAAACACTGCACATATATACTAGTTCCACAGAATAAAAAGTTAATAATAATAATATCTCAAATAAAACTGTAAAAATATTATCTCTTGACCTAGAAGTTCTAAGTCAGATCAGTGGATCAGTGGATACTAACTTCAGGGTCACATTAGCTTAGCTCTTTGCTGGATCTTTGTCAGTAAATTCTTTTTGAGCAACATTAGCCTTTAAAAAGCTCTTTAAGGGCCCTCCCTGGTGGCGCAGCGGGTTAAAGCACAGCACTGAGAAGCTAACCCACTTCCTACATGAGTTCGATCCCCTCCCTGCCCAGGAGGAGACCACATGGCGCCGCAGACCTCTCCTGACCCGCCCGCTGCTCCCCTCAGCAGTGTACTTGGTCCATCTGCCTGTTCTGCTCCCCACTCTGTCTCTGGTGAATCCTCTCACCCTCCACATCTCTGGCCTGTACCCCAGTTCTGTATGAATAAATAAATAAATCTTTTTTAAAAAAAAAAAAGCTTTTTAAAAGAAACCACGGAAAAATACTTCCACATTTATTGTAAAGTTGATATAATAACTTCTAACACATTGATTAATCCTATGAAATTTCCATGAAAGAAATCTGGTTGTGAATGAAAAAATAAGAGGGAACCTGATCATTTAAAAGGAAATATATATATATATATCAGGCCTCCCCTGGTGGTGCAACAGGTTAGAGCGCAGCACTGCACCTAGCTGTGGCCCCCTTCAATGCAGAGTTTGATCACCCGCCCCGAGGTGATCCACATGGCACCACAGACTTCTGAACCGCCCTCTGCTTCCCTCAGCAATGTACTTCGTAAGTCGGCCTGTTCTACTCCCAACTCTGTCTGTGATGAATCCTCTCGCCACCCTGAACATCTGGCCTGTACCCCAGTTCTGTATGCATAAATAAAAAATAAATCTTTAAAAAAGAAGAATATTCTGGGCCCTCCCTGGTGGCACAGTGGGTTAAAGCACAGCACTAAGAAAGCCACTTCAGCATGAGTTTCACCACACACACCCCCAGCCCCCAAAGGTGATCCACATGGCGCGGCAGACCTCTTCTGACCCGCCCGTTGCTCCCCTCAGCAGTGTACTTTGTGAGTTGGCTTGTTCTGCTCCCCACTCTGTCTCTGGTGAATCCTCTCACCACCCCTGAACCTCTGGCCTATACCCCAGTTCTGTATGCATAAATAAATAAATCTTTAAAAAAATATTTTAACAAAAGAAAATAGCTTATGAAAAATGGTATCATTTTCTCTGATGTGACTATACAGTACGTCATTATTTTGTTTTCCTTTTTGGGATAGATTAAGGAAAATAAAAATTAATGTTCAGTCCCAACATGATACTAATCTTTATAAAATGTTTGCTACTTCTCATTTTCATGTAAAATGTAAAATTACATTTTATTAATCATATCACATGTAAATATATTGAATAATCTCACTGTATTTAATTTCAGATATATATTCATAAATATATGTATATATAATATCTCACCACATTCACATTATTTTTAAAGAATCAATGTATAAACATATACATAGATATAATTATAATACATAAATAACCTTGAAAGAGCATATTAATTTGAAGATATTTTTCTTTCTAAAAGTTTCATCAGCGCACTTTTCACTTCCTTATTCCTAAGGCTATAAATTAGGGGATTTAACATGGGGATCACAGTGGTATAAAATACAGATGTTACTTTCTCCTGGATGGCTGAGCTGCTGGAAGCAGGTTTGAGATACATGGACATGAGAGACCCATAGAAAATAAGAACAGCTGTCAAGTGGGAACTGCAGGTGCTGAAAGCCTTGGACCTGCCCTCTTTAGACTGGATGCGGAGGATGCTGGAGAGGATGAAAGTGTAGGAAATGATGATTGTCAGGCTGGTGGTTACCATGTTAAATCCACCAATGACAAAAATCAAAAGTTCATCAATATATGTGCTGGAACAGGAAAGTTTAATAAGAGGCACGATGTCACAGAAGTAATGTTTAATGACATTGGATCCACAGAAATCCAATCTTAATATACAACCACCATGAATCATGGCATCAGTGAAGCCTACTGAGAAGACGGCAGCCACCAGCAGAGAACAGACCCGAGGGGACATAATGACATTGTAGAGCAGAGGGCTGCAGATGGCGACATAGCGATCATAGGCCATGGCTGCCAACATGTAGCACTCAGAAATGACAAAAATACAGAAAAAGAACAGCTGAGTCATGCATCCAGAATAGGAGATTGCTTTATCTCTGCTTACAAATCCTACCAGCATTTGGGGCACAATGACAGTAGAATAACAGAAATCTAAAAAAGACAAACTACTGAGGAAATAGTACATGGGAATGTGAAGTTGAGGACTCAACCCAATTATGGAGATCATGCCGAGATTCCCCACCACTGTAACTATATAAATCCCCAAGAAGAGGAAGAAAAGAGGCAGCTGAAGCTCTAGTCGGTCAGTTAATCCTGAGAGAAGAAATTCAGTGACTGTAGACTGATTTCTTATACCCATTCTCCTGTGGAAATCTGTGGAGGTCAAAGAGGAAAGAGTCCAGTTAGACAGGCAGAGACCCAGCTCAGCTCCTATTCCCAAATCCAAGCTCTCCATCATCTTGGAGTCTGTTCTGCTTCTCCATTGAGAACGGGTTCTTACCCACCAGAAGGTCAGCACTCAGATTAAAAACAAACAAACAAAAAAACAGTTAGCATCTGTCTACCTATGGATTTTAGAAACCATGCATGAACTTTCAAATCCTCTCCAGTATCTCAAATTCTTTTAGCAAAGTATAAAACCTTTAACTCCAACACTAGAAGACTAATGTAAAGACCAATGGTGAAATAAAGCAAATTGGTGAAATAAGTGCATAAAGAAAGAGTTGTGCATATATACAAAAATGAGCAATGATATAAAATATGTATAAACAAATAATTTATTAAAAAAAGAAAAGCTGAGAAAAAGCTGAGAAAATGCTTTGTTATGACACACTTGTCTCTGTGCGATCTGCTTCTAGGACTTCAAAGAAAAGGTGACTCTTGTCAAGGCCTATAATGAGTCCTAGATAATGTTTCCAAGTGTGGACAGCAAAGCACTGATTCCAGATTTTTCAATGATTTTAGATGAAATAAGTAGCCCAGGGTTATATAATTTCAGACATTCAGAGTTACATAACCTCAAATGGGTTTCTTAACTGAAGAAGAACTCGGAATCTACTAGACATGTCAAAAATATTTGATGACAGACTCTACACACACACAAACTTCAAAAAAATAAAATAAAATAAATCACAGCACTTATCTTTTAGAAAGTGTTTTTGTCTTGCTCTAATTAATTCTAATCATGAACTGGCTTCCTGGACAGAAGCCTATGCTAATAAATAAATCTGATGATAGAACAGCAGCATTTTTTATCTCCCCACCCCATTTCTTATCTCTGAATCTCTGATCATTTTTTTTTTGGCAAAACAAACAACCAGGTATTTGTATTTCCATAACAGGTTCCTGTGGAACGCTCCCTCTTCTCACCCATAAAGTTCTACTGGAAGGGGACAGAGGTGACACATGTGGGGACTGCCTGTTCTGGTTTCAATCAAAGAATTATCTGTGAACATTTTAACTTTCCCCCCTTTTTCTCCAGTGTTGGACTGCACATAGCCTCCTCACTAGTCTCTGTCTCGCTCGCTCGTTCTCTCTTTCATGTTTACACAGAGATTATAAAGAGCCGAACTCAGAAAACGGCTTTAGCAAATTCTCAACCTGATCAGCCCAGGACCTACCTGTCTCCAGGCTTTTCAAGAATCTGTTCATGACTTTCTAGTTCCAGTCTGCTACTCTAGCAGGACACCCTTCCTTTGGGGTATAGGAGTCTCTACAATGCGGGTGCCTCCCTCTGATCCCAGAGTCAATTTAAAATAAGGAAGCTTCGTAACTGAACAACTGTTCTCTAAGCCAGTTCCAGTTCTACAGAACACTTGACTCTTGTATCTGCACTTTCTTTTCCTATCCTGAGGGATGAGGACAGAGCAATCATGTGCAAAAGAGAAGTTTCCCATTAGTGACATACTCTGGAGACCTCTTTTCCCTTCATCCCTTGCCAATGAACAAACACAGATGTGGTCCAGTCACAGAGCTCACAGAGAAATTGCAAAGCAGTATTCTAGAAGACCGTGGACTCATCATTAACATCTTTTCGTGTATGTTTGTTTTCAATGTGTCCTGATTATCACAAATACATTAACTATCCTCATCAGGTGTCCAATTCTCCTAGTTTCCCCTAATTCCTGCAGACAGCTATCAAGGTAACATGACATCCTTTCTCCTTCCTGCCTATGATCGCTTTTAGTGTTCCATGTTCTGCATCTGTCTCCTCTCTACTCAAGATAGTGGTTTCTTTCTCCTATTTATCCTACTTCCTGAACATGCCTGTGTCATAATCTTCACAATTTAATATGCAGTCCACAGACCAGTGACTCTGCACTAGTGGAAATGTGCTAAATGCACAATTTCATGTCCTAAGCCTAATCGTTGTTGTAACCCACTTACTGAATTAGATTACAATTTAGCATGACCCCCACATGAAATGTGTACATACTGAACTCTGAGAGGAACTATTTAGGTTATTCTCATCTAGAGCTAAAATTATCTTTTCTTGCTTCTTCCTCCTTTGAGCCTCATCTGCCTCTTCTCTGTGCCAGAAAGCTCTCTGCAGTCATGTAAAGCTCATTTCTGAAAACACCTTCTCAAGAAGAGCCTCCTTGCGAAGGACAGAAATACACTTTGTCACCAGAAGTAAGGCAGTGATTCCATGGCAGTGTGATAGGTGTGCCCTGTTGCTTATTATAACACATTGTATTTTACTTCTGTTTTATGTGAAGAGGTATTACACAAATTACATCTTAACCCACAGAAAAATGAACAATGCTACCCAGAGATACCCAGTACCTACTTTATTTAATGATCTGCTAAACATGAAATTCCCTAGGAAAGGAGTAAAATTTCATTGTGTTGTATGTATGACTATGTCCAAAATAATTATTCCACTAACCTACCTGATAGGTCATTTAATTTTAAATATTCAAAAGCAGCCAGTTAATAAAAAGGTGTTTTTTTTAACATTTCAATGTTCTGTTATACAGTATTATCAAAAACATGACAATTTAAAGTACTTCACAAAGGTATCATCTAGATCAGCCTTGTCCAGGAGAAATACATATAGATACATGGGTAACTTAAAGTGGTGTTTCAGAAGCCCAGTTTTTCAAAAGTAAAAGCAAGCACAGGAAATCAACTTATATACATATTATTAACTCATTATTTTAAAAATATTTTCATTTCAACACATAATTATATCAAAACCCCATGAAAAATTTTGTTATTCATTTTACTAATCTTTGAAATTCATGGTTTTTATATGTGCATCACTTTTCAAATCAAATTAGCCACATTTCAAATGCTCAGAAGACACAAGTGATGATTGGCTTTATATTGGACAGCACAGATCTAGAATATACTTTCTTGTAAATCTGTCTTAATTTTCAAATCTTAATTGTTTCCCTCAGTGAAGTAAGCCATTAGCACAAAGTAGAAGACAGAATATTGAACTGTAATATCTAGTTTAACATCAGTTCTGTCTTATAGTATATTGACTTATCATGGTCTCTTTGAGCTTCATGTTTTAATATTTAAAAAATGAAAAACTTCTATGGAAATAATGCACAAATTAAATAAGAAACTAAGAGTAAGCCCGATGTGTGCATTGCACAAATTAAATAAAAAACTAAGAGCAAGCCTGATGTGTGCATTGCAAGGTCTGTATTTTATAGTATTATAATTCATATTTTAGAGGCCGGTGATTTCATGGATTAATTCACAGATTTCACAACTACAGTTCTTAGATAAGGTAAGTGGACAATGCACATTGAGTCCAGGTAGATATCAAGGGCCTCTTTCCTATTGACCATGACTTGGTGGCCTGTAAACATGCAGAGACTCCTGTGCTCATACAGAAAATCAGGTGTTGATTTTAGAGTATTTTAACACCTGTGTCATATGAATATCATACCTCTGAAACTCACCTTCCCCTGAAGACTTAGCTGAATGTCTCTTCTCCTAGCCTCATCACTTGAGCAATAAAGATTTATTAATTGTACCTTTTCATCCTTCAGTGTCTAAACAACCATTCACAAACAAGAATCAGGTTTAAGTGAAACTGTGACTTCTCAATTCAAGTATTTTATGCCTGGAAATATAAAGACGAGTAGTCCCTAAGGTTCTCTCATCTCTCGAGGCTTAGTTGTAAACTGCATAGGTGCAAAAAGTGTCATTTTGCTGGCCTATCAAGCTCTTTTTAGGAAACCTAATCTTGTAATGTGGTCACATTTTCGAAGTAATGCAATTATTATAACTCAACATGCAGAAGAGAGTCGGAGCACAGTGTTAAAGATACAAAACAGAATGATTCATTCAGAGGTAGAAGATAAAGATATAAAACAATGAACAAACAAAACAACACCGTAGGCTATCATAACAAGATGATGCTTGCCAGAAGAGAAGGGGGCAGGAGGTTGGGTAAATCAAGTAAAAGGGGTCAATTTTGTGGTGAAGAATAAAAACTAGACTTTTGATGGCGATTATGATGTAGATGTACAGGTGTCAAATTATAATTCTGTTCACCTATATAATGCTATAAATCAATGTTACTTCAATAAAATTTTAAATTATGAAAACAAAAAAGAATAAAACAAGTTCTCCTTTTGAATGATAAATAATAATTACATTTCCATCTATGCAGAGAAATTTCCATTATCTTTTAATCTCCAATGACAATAAAAAATATGAAATGCAAAAGGATCAAAATGTTTTCTATCAAATCTTGCAATTTAGACAGTAGCTAAGTGTTCCAGGAACCAAAATCTTGTGAAATTTTTATTTTTCAAATATGGACAGTTAAAAATCCAGAACACAATAACCATCAATTGTCATCATCTTTTTATAAAGTATATTTTAAAACTAAAATATATAAACTCATAATAAAGATCAATTCCTTGAAATGAATATATTTAGCTTTGCAAAATATTTTTTAGAAGAAATATAGGGTAGATGAGCCAAGGAATATCAATTTATTGTAGAAATTATTTTAAACTATGGGGGAATTTTCCATTTATACATGCACATCTACATATGTAAACTTCTCCAACTGGTGGAATCTTTTTAATATATTTATTGAGTATATTTTGGGCATTTACCAATTGTTGGGACACTAAAGAAGGATTCAGTGTTAGTATCTCAGAACCATCTCATCTAGAGGGCAATGTATAGCTCAACACACATTTTGTAGAATGAATATGTACCATGTGTTCTAGGGAACACGCAGTAGAAACTGTGAACTCAGAGGTGGAGCAGGTCACTGCTCTATGTAGTAATGCAGTTGGGCTTTGTGGATGGGTGGGTTTTAAATCATGCCTTCAGAATTGGAGAGACTTTACTATAGCTGAAAGATGTTCAATATATAGGTTA